TCTACGGGCACTATGCCGTACCTAGGACCCTAGTCGGAAACACATTCCGACAAGGCTTCTACTGGCCGACCGTAGTAGCTGACGCTGAACAGATTGTGCGCACCTGTGAAGGGTGTCAATATTACGCTCGGTAGACCCACCTACCAGCCCAAGCACTCCAAATGATCCCCATCATGTGGCCATTCATGATCTAGGGGCTCAATCTGGTCGGACCTCTCAAGAGGGCGCCCGGGGCCTATACGCACTTGCTTGTTGTCGTAGATAAGTTTACAAAGTGGATAGAGGCTCGACCGATCTCCGCGATCAAGTCCGAGCAAGCCATGTTGTTCTTCCTTGACATCGTCCATCGCTTTGGAGTCCTAAACTCCATTATCATGAACAACGTCACGCAGTTCACCAGGAAAAAGTTCCTTTGATTATATGATAAATACCACATCCGCATCGATTAGGCTGCCGTGGTGCACCCCCACACAAACGGGCAGGTCGAGCATGCGAACGGCATGGTCCTACAAGGCCTCAAGCCTAGGATCTTCAACCGGTTGAATAAGTTTGGCAGACATTGGGTCGCGAAACTTCCCGCAGTGCTCTAGAGCCTAAGGACGACCCCCAACCGGGCCACGGGCCACACGCCATTCTTCATGGTCTACGGTTACGAGGCTATCCTCCTGACCGACCTTGATTATGGAGCGCCAAGGGTCAGGGCGTACGATGAATAGGGAGCCGAAGCATCCCTCGAGGATGCCATAGACTAGCTAGATGAAACGTGCAACATTGCCCTCCTCTGTTCGGTCAAGTACCAGCAAGCGTTGCACCGGTACCATAGCCGTCGAGTGCGTTGTCGGGCCTTCAACGTTGGGGACCTAGTGCTCTGCCTCGTCTAGAGCAACAAGAATTGCCACAAGATCTCTCCGTCGTGGGAGGGACCGTACGTTGTTGTGGAGGCGCTCCGACCAGGCACCTATAAGCTCAAGACCATCGACGGCGAAGTCTTCATCAATGCCTAGAATATCGAACAGCTACTTTGCTTTTACCCTAAATCTATGCACATTTTCTCTTATCGGTTTCGCTATCGACTCCTCGATCTTTAGTGACACCCGACCCCAGCAACGGTAAGGGGTCGAGCCACACTCAGGGGCTGATAAGAGCATATCTATCCGGTAGACATTCTCTATGCCTAACCCTTTTCCATGTTAAGATCTAGAAGCAAGGGTTGCAGAAACAAACGCTGAGTAAAACTGGTCGGACCGCAAGAAACCTACGCCCCAGCGGCTATGGCATTTTTGCTCACCAGCGTGATCAGAGTTTTTTGCTCGCACCCTGAGCTTTTTAGCCTTAACTATGGAAAGAGTCATAACGCATTAAAGAGTATATCTATCCAATAGACATTCTCCATGCCCGACCCTTTCTCATGTTAAGATCTAGAAGCAAGGGTTGTGGAAACGAACGCTGAGTAAAATTGGTTGGTCTGTAAGAAACCTACGCCCCAGCGGCTATGGCGTTTTTGCTCACCAGCGTGATCAGAGTTTTTTTCACCCGCACCCCAAGCTTTGTAGCTTTAATGATGGAAAGGGTCAGAATGCATTAACCTTTTTATACAAAAAGGGAAGAAGAGCCAAAAATCTATTTGGCCATAACGAAATTTAAGAGCTTGTCCACTTATTATAAGTTCGTCGCCTGGCTTATCTACCTAACAATTTTTTTAGGGGTGATCTCATCCTCTGTCTTGGCAGGTAAGTCCTGTGCCAGAGGGGCCACCTCCTTCTCGATGTCGTCTAGCTCAGTGTCGGTGTAGATAGGCACGAGAACCGTCACAGCTAAGGAGGGATACGGAGCTAAAACTGCTCATATGGCCCATTCAGGCCTAGGAGTTTGAAGGATGGCCCTCCGACAGGTTCACAGCCACTCCGGGGCGCCCTTAGAGTGAGGGGTGGAAAGGGATGGGCCCATTAGCGGCCAGTACCTGGAAGTACAAGCGCCGTGGGCATCCTGGCCCACGTTCGAGTCTTGATCGGTTCCTAGTCCATGTTTTTTTCTTGAAGAAAGGCAATGAGCCCTTGGGACCGGTCGAACGGACCCGAGAAATATATGGATTGACCACTGAGAATCTAGAGTTGGTCACCAGCTGACCCATGCTAGCCCCCCGCGAATGGGAAGCCGAGGCCCTACTCGAACAAGCCCGTTAACAGCTCACAGAGAACCATGTTTTGTCTATCGAGGAAAAACGTGGCATGGCTCAGCCCCTCCATTTTATCGAAAAAACGCTTGAGGGAAGATGATCAGAAAGACGAGCTGACCCCTCGACTGGACCCCTGCAATGCGCGGGGGCTTGAGGGAAGTTGGACTCTCAAGGAGACCAAATACGCGGTCGCAGGACGATGGCTCGGACCGATCGAATCCTAGGGGACCGGGATCAAGAAAAATCTTTCTGACCTCCCGAATTCTACGGTTACAAACCCCAAGAAGACCAATCGTGACAAAAGGGAATTGCCATCCTACCAGGACATGCCGTGGGCTACAAAAAGAAGGCCAAGGCCCTCAGAGTCCTCTTGTCCAGCAAAACCTCCAAAAGAGTATTCTACTCCTCTACAGGCTCGAGGGCTACTATCGGGTATCGATATTAGGGATACCCAAAGCAAGGAAGTTAGCGCCCACGCTGACTTCCTTGGATGGCTTGAGACGTATTATAAGGTCTCACCCGACCCCATGGCCATGGACTCCATCTTGCCCGACCTCGAGGCCACGGGCTCCATCTCGCCCGACTCCAAGGACATGGGTTCCGTCTCGTCCAAGGCCGCGGGCTCCATCTCGCCTAACCCCTTGGGTGGGGGTCGGGCTCCGTCTCGCCCGACCCCAAGGACACGGGTTCCATCTCGCCCAAGGCCACGGGCTCTGTCTCGCCCGACCTCAAGGCCACGGGCTTCGTCTTGCCCGACCTCGAGGTCGCGGGCTCCATCTCATCCAACCCCAAGGACATGGGTTCTGTCTCGCCTAAGGCCGCGGGCTCCGTCTCACCCGACCTCGAGGCCACGGGCTCCATCTCGCCCAATCCCTTAGGTGGGGGATCGGGCTCCGTCTCGCCCGACCCCAAGGACACGGGTTCCGTCTTGTCTAAGGCCGTGGGCTCCGTCTCGCCCGACTCCTTGGGTGCGGGCTCTGTCTCGCCCAGCCCTAAGGACGCGGTTTCTGTCTCACCAAAGGTCACGGGCTCCGTCTCGCCCGATCTCGAGGACGCGGGTTCCGTCTTGTCCGACATAGACCCATACCGCCGTCAACCACTCCAGGTCAAAGCGTATGGGCCTGGGTCAAAACTCTAACGCTAGGAAAGAGGCTGGCACACCACGATGTAACCCGTGGCCATGATGGGCCATACCTGGGGATTCACATCAAGAACAGTGTCGGGCATACCGATGCTGTGCTGCCTAATCCTCGTACGGACGCTGACAGGCGCGTCAGTTCACCACGACGTCTGCCAGGACGGAGTGGAACGCCATGACCGGTAGATGATGCCTGCGCATGGCGCCAGTGACGAACAGGGCCACGACATGGAGCCGTCCCTATTGACATCTACATGATTGGTGGGACCCACATGAAGGAGATGAAGGACTAGACAACCCTGGGCGCCCCATGAGTAGGGGAGATTGGAACACAAGAGCATGACACGAGCACACAGCTGAGCGGTAAGCGAGCTCTCAGCACCTGTTCGTTCCTTCCACCAGAGACTTGGGATCCTCTCCCTCTCTTGCCTGTTTGTAACCCCTACTACAAACCAAGTGCTAGTAAAACGAGCAGTAGCGAACTAGACGTAGGGATGTTTCGCCCGAATCAGTATAAACCCTTGTGTCCTCCGAGCACACCATCTGAGCCAAACGTGCAAATACAAATTTACTCGTCGGTGGTCCGAAAACACCGACACGTCTGGAAACCAATAAAATATTTTAAACAAACGCTTACAACATGCTTCTGAAGCACTTGCAACATATGCAACATGTGCAACATCCTCTGATCTAGTTTTGCAACATATATTTCAAAAGACTGAAACACCTGAAACATATATTTCAACATAGGGAAGCCTGGACCTATCGATTGCAGCCGTCGGAGTCGGAGTCGGCGGCGAGCGGTGGCGCACGAGCACCACCGCCACTAGCGCTCTAGTACCGGACTTGGCTCAGCTGCAATGGTGGGGGATGGGGGATGAGGAGTGCCATGGGCACCGGGGTGGGGAGAGCTCGGTCACCGGGGTGAGAGAGGGCGTCGCGCCGGGGTGGAGGAGAGCCGTCCACTCCCCTGCAACACCGTCACACCACCTCCATGGATCTCGCTCTTTCTCCATGAATCTCGCCGGGGTGAGGGAGAGGGCCGCCGGACCTACAGGTGTTGGGGGCTTCCGGTGAGGGAGGACGTCGGATGTTGGTGCGTTGCGGCAAGGGATGAAGAGTGCGGAAGGGGTAAGGGCGGGAGCGGAGCGGCGCGAGACGTGCAGGAGTTGATTTTGTTAGACGAGGTGTGTTTTTTTAAGACGAGCGACGTATACGACAAGGAGCGGAGCGAGACGTCTATGTGTTGCGAACGTGTAGCATTGCCGAAGTCTAAAACGACGTGGTCCGCTGACGTGCACCGAGAGGCGAGGGGCGCGAGTAGATATTTCAGGAGGTCACGGAGGCAACTGGGCTTTGGTCCAATTCATTCGTTGACAGCCCAATGAGGACGTTTACGAGTAGGGCTCCAATTGAATAAACAACTTGGCCCGATCGGTCTCCAGGGCTGGTGGGCCATCTACTCGGAATCATCAGTTCATCACGCACGGCGTCCCCGCGCCCCTCGCCTCGCCGTGCTCGCCCCTTGTCTCAGCGGCGCGCAAGGCCGCCGACGCGAGCGCCCTCCCTCGTCCTCGCCGTTGCCGCACGCCCGACCACATCCGCCGGTGGGGGGAGGCATGGGGGGAGGCGAATGCGCCCTGGGCGACGCCGCGGTAGGCAAGGAAACCCTAAACTACGACGACGATGACGTCGAGATGGCCGACGCGGACTCGGACACGGAGCAAAGCCCCAGCAGCTGAGGTCTCCGCCAGCGCCAGCGGCGGGCAGGCGGAGAAGGCCGGACCAGAGAGAAAGAAGAAGAGGAGGAAGAAGAGGAACAAAGGGAGGCAGGATGGGACGCCCACCAACATCGCAGACATTAATCGGTAAAAAGCCTTGCAGAGGATCATATAGAACCCAGCAAACGATTTGGACATTTCGAACTAAAAACTGTATGTATTTCAAATGAAATTGCTTTACGGATAAATAGTTTCGATTCATCCAGTGGAAGTTACAACGATACACTGCTCTTGTTTTTAATAGACACATTACAAGTTCATAGATTTGTGTTTATAATCAGCATTCTTCTTATCTGATATAAAAAAGAATTCGAAATAATAGCTTTGGAGGGATAATTGCTGTAATGAATATGTGTAGGTTGTTGTGCTTTACTTCTTTTGATCTGAAGAGGTACAGAGTTTAGCTTTTGACATGTCTTCTTGGCACTGTTTTGTTTTACAAACAACTTGTAGTTATTTAAGTTGTGATTGATTTCTTATCATGTATTGGTATTCAGAATTTGGCTTCCATTACCACTGATTTGGCCCAGGAAAGTCTGTTTTTCCTTGTGCATCCAGTATGCGTTAGGTTGCTGAATTTCATAAACTCCTTTTATCCCTGATGCAGATTTGTTCTTAACACTTGCAAGCGCTTGAAGGAGAAGAAGTCGTACCTTGTCTGGAATGCTGTTGGTTGCCTTGGTGTCACTGCTGTCAGTGATCTTGTTAGAGAGGTATGCAATGCTTATGTTGAACAGTGCTGCACTACTGCTGAAAGTTTATTTAGTCACTGGATAAGTTTATTAGAAGAAATAGTTTAACTAATAAGTGGCTTCTTGCTTTTCTACTAAAACAGTATAAATGCCATTGAATATTTGTATTTTAAGCTATTGTTGACCTTTTGTTTTGCAAGGCACTTCAATGATAGACCAGTATAGTAAGTTGTCCTATCTTTTCATTGGAGATCTGTTGGCCACTGCTTTTACAAGCATCACTGCCTTGGTTCTTTTTGCAGTTCCATGGATTTGTTTGTTTGTGTACTTGAGAGGTTTGGAGTAATTTAAGAAGTATCTCTGAAAAATATTACCGTCTACATAGTTGATTTGGTGACCTATCAATTTGGAGTTAAGTTTCTATTTCATTGCTACCATGTTATGACCTCCCTATATCATACTCTGTATTCTGTAATGCAAAGTCATTAACATTCAATTTTAGGAGTTAGTATATCAAGTGTTCTGTTAAATCTGTCGTTTGGTTTGTATATGTGTAGTTTGTGATACTTAGATGTTTATTCCGCCGTAGTTGTTATCCTAAATATATTTGATTCTAGGTGGAGGCTATTCAGAAGTGTGGTGGGCAAACTATTGCTGATGGAAGCCGTTTCCGCACAGGTGGTGGAATTCTCTGGAACATCTTAAAGTCGCGGGAACCCAAGGCTTACAAGGAAATAATGGCAAAGGGGAAGGAACTTGAGGTACAATTTTTTGTTATTATGAATGGATTAATTATATGTATGATGCTTATACTACGAAAATAATAACAACAAAAAAGGTACGAAATCATTTAGTCCCAAGGAAGCTGTTGTAGGCAATAGATGAAACCCAGCAAGACCCACAAGAGTGGAAAAAGGAAGCAACCTAGATATGCTTTAGCAATTATGTACAGGAGATAAATGTAGTAATCTTGTCTTCAAATCAAGTAACTTGTCATTTTCCTCAGTTTTTTTTCTACCTTTCCAAAAGAACTTGAGTCACTGATTCACTGTGCGTGCCCATCATTAAAGAAACTGGGGTGAGGGGTGCAATGATCAAAGTCTTTGGGTATTGCTTTCTTCTTGGTATCACTGCCTGCGTGGACTAGAATTCAGTTCAGTATTAGATTGCTGCCTCGGTAATGAAAATAATTATAGTAATCATTGTGAGTTTGATCCTCCCCCCAGCCCACTACACTTCAATTTGTCGGGAACTGAGACTAAATTGCTGTTCCTTTTCCTTTGTTTTCTTTTCTTCCTAAGAATCTATTGTGAGCATTGTACTAATTAGCATTGATATTTTCCTTTTGACATCTGGCAGTAAATTACATGTTTTGGTGATCCTTCTATTAATTTACTGGTCATTTTTGGGATCTGTTGTGTGGAATTAACTTGTATACCTATTTCCTCCTTGCAGAAGCAGTTTAGGTATACAAAACGGCCACATATTAGCAGAAACGAAGATGCAAGTTCACAGGGCAGTGCACTAATCGATGATGAAATTGAATCGCAAGAGCAAAAGGAAATGTTGGATGATCCTGAGCAGTTGGATGATGTGGAGACACCTGCATCAGACAATAAAGCTCAACGCAAACCACTAGCTGACAGAATTCGCGTTCCTGTTGGTTATGACGATTTGTTTGAAGAGGGAGAGATACACGAAGGAGAACCACAAAGTTGAAGCATTTCAAAGTTTATGCCTCCTCATGAGTTGTGAGGCCCAAAGGAATGGCACGTAATCTCAAGAGCATGAGTATGAACAACTACTGAACTATCACTGCAATGTAGTAATTTTCCCTCTAAACATGCCCTGTGATTTTGCAGTGATAAGTGTGGCACATGAGATTTTGTTGCGTTCAGTGAAAACCCCAATCTTGGGCCTGAATTTAACGGCTATTCAATGTGGCAGAGAAGGAAGGAAAAAAATGTTAGCAGAGATTTTGTTGTGTTCAGTGAAAGCCCCAATGTTGGGCCTGAATTCAACGGTTATTCAATGTGGCAGACAAGGAAGGAAAAAAAATGTTAGCAGAAACGTTTTTCACGTCCAACAATTTGTTTCATATATGCATCAAGAAAATAAAACCATTCCTTATATAAAAACGAACTTATAACCACTCAGCGCGTCACATAAAGTCTCAGGCACCATTCGGTTCCCTGGGAATGATGCCCCGGAATCATTCTTACGGTAATGCTCGTGTAATTTGTATAGCAAATTCTCATCAGAAATAATTTCCTACCAGGAACGAGCTTAACCGAACGAGCCCTTAGGGAGTTAGGACGCGTTCGGATTCCTAGCCAGCGCTTGCCTTGCCTATCTGAGCAAAATTCGAAGCGTTTGGATTCTTTGCCACTTGTCTCATTTTTGTGTACTCAAGATTTTACCTTGTTTATTCTCAAAAAAAAAAAGATTTTACCTTGCTTGCTCAGGTCAAGACTTTTTGGTGTGCTCAGGTTTTCCACCACTTCAGAATGAACTGTATTAGAACAATGAATATATATGTACACCTACAGAACTAAAATACTACTTTCATACAGTATTGTTTTACGTTTCTCAGAAGTAGATGGAGATCAGCACTGGATGGAGTACTAATTTCAGGAAACATGTCATTATTAGTTAGCATCCAATGGAAACTTTCAAGATGCAATTTCAGATGTTTTGCTATGCTTCCTTCAGGCTTTGTTAATAGTGGTACTCCAACATTGATTGGTTTATAGCGCTGACAACGGGATGTCCCATCCAACAAAGTAACCATAATTTCGGTGGATCTCCATCCAGTGAAGACGCTCCCTCCCTCTCTCTTATCAGAGCAATATTTCTTGAATAAAGTTCACCACTTATAGTCATACAAGCTTTTTATATGGCTGCACTATTACGTTTCTGTTAAGAATTCCAAAATTACTTTATCCATAAAGAATGTCCCCCTTCATAACTTTTACTTGCATAGTTATCCTGTTGAAGTTCATCAACTCTGCTGAAGAATGATGATACATCCTAGCTAAGCAAGCAATGGCTTAGACTGGGTAGTATATCTTGGCTATTGGTGTAAATAATCATGCTTTGCTTCGCAAGCACAAGACCCTTCCCCACTGGGAAACGAGTGTATAAGCGGAAAATGCGTACATACTTCAGTTGTGATCCTATCTTGATCTTTCCAAGAGCCTTCAGGTCGTCTAGTGGATTCAGGTCAGTACCATAAATGATAACGGTATCAATAGATGAAAGATTAACGCTGGGGTTGACATGCACAGCTTCTGTAAATTAACAGAGATTAGGAGACCATATACATACCATTTATTATATAGTAATTTGTTATTATCATAATTAGAAACTTACCTTGATGCATATTATTGCCACCACCGAATGGCAAAGGGTACAACGGCGGACCATCAGCATATGATTTTTGTTTCAAAGAAATATATAGATTCCAGTTTCGAGCTTGTTTGGATCGGATTATTTTCACAGGAATTTCAAAGGAATCAAATTCCTTTATTTCGATGACATCAGACACCGTTTGGAATGGAGAAAAGCAGCTAGCCGTTCTAGAGAAAAGGAATAGCTTGCTTCACAAAACACAGGATTTTCAGTCATACTTTTATTACTACTAGTAATCCTCTTGCAGCCCATGGAATGGAAAATCTCACCTGCTTCACAAAACATGGGATGTCAGTCATATTTTTTTTTTACTAGTAATCCTCTTGCAGCCCATGGAATGGAAAATCTCATCGGCAATTTCAGTCACCTCAGATTATAGGAGGTGTGGAAGTAAGAGTATCTCCAAGAGTTTTTTTTAAAATGCTTTCAATCTTCGCCCTGTTTTCTAGCACTACTTCAGCAGTACTCCCTCCATCCCAAATTGTAAGACGTTTGACTTTTTTGGCTCCAAATTTGACCACTCGTCTTATTCAAAAAATTTATGTAAATATAGTTAAATTTAAGTCATTCTTGAAGAATTTTTATTAATAAACCAAACCACGATGAAAGAAAATGATATTTTACACAAATTTTTAAATAAGACGAGTGGTCAAACTTGATGTTAAAAAAGTCAAACGTCTTATAATTTGGGATGGATTGAGTACTTTTCAGTGAATGAACAGTGTTTTTCTCTCACGACAATTCAGCATCAGCAGCAGCCAATTTTTAACAAGACTGAATAAAAAAACAGCTCCCAATTCCTTATCTCAATTTATGCAAAATTGTCTTCTATATTATAGGAACGAGATTTTGAAAATTGTTTGAGAAACCGAACAATATAGTTAATTTTATTTAGGCACTTGAAAAAAACTCATTGATTTTTTTCGATCAATTCGGGGAGGGGGAGGTTCCCACCTACTTATATTGAATCGAATGAGCAAAAAGCTCGAACAGATACAGCATATTTCTAGCTAACCAGAAGATGTACATAGTATAGGAGAGGAGGTGTGGAGACAGGGATCAAAAGAAGAGATGTTACAGCAACTCAGCACAGGCCACAGGTATGCCATGGCACCACCCGTAAGACAGCCACCAATCATTGATTTACTAATGGAGATGCTCTAAATAAAGAATAGGTCTGAACAAATTAAAGATAATTCAACCGTCAAGCAACGAATCTAAAGGTTCCACGAATACATCCCCACGCAGCAGTGCGCATTACATTTGTGATTTGTCGATTGATCAAAATTTCCAAACGAGTCACTTTTCGCTGCTAGTGCTGGTGCTAGCAGCTCGCATGTGGCAAGAACCACGTGGCCCTCAAGCTAACCATAGCCAGCAAATACCTACAAAACTGAGACGACACGAACTCCATCCATTCACCATCGTCGTCGTCTTCGTCCTCCGCCCACCTCGTCTACCCCCATTCCAAGCCGGATCCGGCTGGCCGCCCTGTTCCACAGGCCGTACACACCACAAACGCAAAAGTTCCACTTCCGCCCGAACCTAATGTACCTAGCATTGCTGACGAACCCTTCGTGACCCAACGCACGAAGGGCGACCGAGCATCTCTGGCTCACGAAGAGCACCTGGTCACCCAACGCACCGGTCGACGTCACCTGCCCACGTGGCGCCACCGCTGCTGTCGGCATCATTCGAGTTACCCGCCTGGAACACGTTGAACGCCATCACTGGTTCCTAGTTCACCGTGTTGAACAAGATGGCGTCGGCTCCGTTTTCCTCGACGATGCTCCAGCGGACCATCAGCAGCTTGTCGTTGTCGCTGGACGCGACGAGATACCGCCACGCCGTGCGCCTCTCCCCCTACAGCGCTACCGTGAGGTCTGACTTTGACTCTCCTTCCACGGCGCCTGCTGGATCACGCGTCTCTCGCGGGCCACCTTTATTACCGCCGTGTTCTTGCCACCAGCTGTTGTCATCGTCGATGGTGATGTCGAACGCATAGAGGTTCCCTCTGTTGTTGTCGACCGCGTAGAGCTTCCACGGAAGAAGGCGACGTCCTTGTACCACGTGCCATCATGGGGGTGTGCAACACCTAGAGGCGCTGGTGAACGGCAGTCATCTTGGGTGCTGGGATTGAACAGAGCGGTGACGATGAGCGGCCCGCTGCCCACCGAGATGACTTTGCGGAACATGGAGCAGTTCCTCTACTTGACGTATGGGTCGTGGGACCATTCCTCCTACGGCCATGGTAGAGACGACAGCTTAATTTGGTGGCGCACCCAGGATTTGGAGTAGGGTACCAGAAGCATGCCCTATATATGGGTGTGTCACATAGAAAAAAAACTATTCTCATAAAAAGTTTATAAATCATAAAGTTGTTCAACTACATTATTAGTATTAAAAATTTTACAAATAATAAAATTCTTCAACTATACATTATTAATACTATATAGTAGCTAAGCAAATAATATGAAACATTAGTGACAAATTTGGGTCCTAATTTAGATTTGTAAATGGAATCAAAACTCTAGAAAGGGTTAAAAGTAGAAACTTAGGACCAAAAATAGTAGAGAACTATAGTAACAATTGTTGGCACTTGGTTCTGAACGAGTTAGGGGTAGAGTAGAGAGTTGAGAGGTGGCGGCTAGGATTTGCAAATGAATGGGAGGGATATAGACCCCTTACCTCATGCTCTTGGACACTATATATAGGAAACAACAACTTACAACCAGCCCCTCAATGTAGGAGGATTTCACAAGCTACTACACTGACCCCTCTTAAGCCTCTTCTAAGGGCAGGATTGGCCCAAATGTCATATGTGCTCCCGCAACAACTAGTGGCGGAGCGTTGAAAGCCTTGTGTTTGGTTTTGGATAATTGAGACAACCAAGTGGACTAATCTTCACTCTAGGGTTGTGAATGAGATAGATTAGGTCCACATCCAAGATTGAGCAAGAATGGCACACATGGTGATGTTGATGGCCACAAGTGATGATCAAGTGTCCAATTCTTGGAAAAGAAGAAAGAGAAAAAACAAAATGCAAGGGCTCAAGGCAAAGGTATAAGCTAGGGCATTTTGTTTTGCCGGTCAAGACATAATAGAGTCGGTGATCGGGTTTAGGATAGATAGTCATACTATTCAAAGGGGAACTCAAAATTCAAAATGGTTATTTAAGTGCCACTAGGTGAATTGATTCCATGCATATGCATTAGGTCTAATGAGTACGGTAAAAACCCTTTGAAAAATACTAACTCACGTGCACAAGTGTTTGGGACAACATTGGAGTTAGCACACGATGGAAGGGA